CGTTCGCTGCTATTGACGTATTCTTCTAGATCTAAAATTCTGATTGGATGATCTAAAAGAATACACCAATAACAGCGAGCGCTCACTCAACTGTTGAGTCCGCTGAATGCGCCCAATGTGTCTTTTCTAAACTAATCACGAGCGTTCCGCCATTCCGCATCATAGGACCGCACCATTAGAGCGCGTTCACATTTTGACGGAAAAATAGAAAGCGGAAAAGCAGCAGCCAATCAGAACTCGCGATGGTAGTCGACAATTTCGGCTTTTTGTACTACTTACTACCAGTGCGAGTTGTGATTGGCCACTGCTTTTCCACTTTCTGCTTTTCCGTCAAGGTGTGAACGCACCCTTACATCATCTTTTATTGGGCTTGTGTGAGTTGATTGGTTATGTAGTGTTTCTAACCTTTAAGATACATTGAGTATTTATAATGTCTTACATAACCTCAGCATGAATTGTAGGATCTTAAACAGTAAGTTATTAACACAAATCATTGTAACACAGTGATCTGTAAATCGAACTGAGAAATGTTATTATCTGATTGTAAGATAGTGGCATATGTAATCTGGCGACAATTGCTTTCTTCTAAGAATGAAATATTTTCATTGACACATGTATCCTTTCAGAAAAATTTTATGCAGCAGATTACAAGTAGCGGCCGCAAGTTTCGAATTAATCTCTAATAACAGGAAAAATAATATTTTAGAAAAAAGATAATTGTATTTGTAGAATGACATTTATGTCGATACTGATGAACCGTACATTTTACATGTGATCTTTAATATGCATGTAGCCTTTGTGCAATCCTCATTTAAATTTAATATGTTGCATTCCACAAAGTCACAATTAGCGCGACTTTACTCTACGAAACAAAGCAATAGGTCGAAGAATCATTATAACACGTTAAATGTCACTCCACATGCCACTCAAAATGAAGTGAAATCGGCATATTACAAGCTAACTCTGCAATATCATCCTGACAAAAACAAGAGCGAATATGCCAAACAAAAGTTTCAAGATATCTCGGAGGCTTACGAAGTGCTCGGCAATCACGACCAGCGTAAAGTTTATGATCGAGATATAATGGTACGTCGACAACCAGTGTCGACTACCACCCAGGAGCCTATTTCCGATTACAAGAACAAAGTTTATTCGGGGTCGTCAAAAATTTACAATTTTGACGCGTGGACGCAGGCACACTATGGAAAGCAAATACACGTAACACGCCTCAGGAAACGGGCGTATGAGAATGCCAAAATGATGGAAGAAATAAATATTCATTCAAAGAAGAAGTCTCAGTATTTAGAATTTGCCGTGTTTTTATTGACTCTAACATTGATTGCTGTGAGTTTACAAAAAAAAGTCGATGTTCCAATATCTCAGAGACGCAAGACAGAAAGTAAAGATCAATAAAATTAGTCCACATTTATTTATTTATTAGTGTAAATTTGTGCTTATAATGAATGTACAAAGTTTATTTTTATGCTCACTTATTGTTACTATTAAAATAAGGACAACATTAAATAGATCATGATAAAGAATGACAAGGTATTTTATATAGACCTTTAAAAAGGTGCTATGATAGAAATTGTTATTAACAGCATGCAGTTAATGCATTCAAATATGCATATCCAAATATAAACTTTTAGATATTTCACAAATGGAGTATAGACAATATTTTAGAAATATTAGCATGCTAAAACATTGTCTACTATAAATAGATAAATAACAAAGGATTTAGGTAAATGTAATAATATCAGCTTTTATACAACGTGTTATCTAATATAAAAATAGTGAAAAATTAATGTGTAAGACATAATACGTAAAGAACATCGGATATCTGATCAAGAAAACGTAAGTAGAAACCTTGTAAAAACAAATAAATATATGACGTAACTTTTCACATTAATATGGTCTATAAACTGGTAATCCTGGCAATGGCATTGGCATAGCTACTGGTCCAGTTGGATACGGTATGGAAGGTGCTAGTCCAGGGAAATTTGAAGCGATTGGTGGATAACCAAGAGTGCTGTTCGAATGTCCTTTTCTTATTATCTCTCGTAGTTTATCTACCTTTACTTTACGTAAGTGCATTAATTTTCTTCGAGACAAGAACTGGTCCAAGAACTCGTCTACCTCAATATCACCGGCTAGAAATTTCTGCGCTATTCCCTATATTAAAAGGATCAAAAGTTGGATAGTTTTACTGAACAAATGAGCGAAAGTTTTGCTTACCTCCGATTCTTCTTCAATCTCAGCGGCCGCTGCTTGCAGCAGATCAAGTGCAGTATCGACAGTCATTGTACCAGACTTATCACCTATAAATATATATATAGCTTTAAGAACGAATCTGTCTTTTCTGTTAAAGTTATTAAATATACCACTGTTCAAAAGTTTGTAACATCTTGAAATTTGGAAAAGAAAATGTAGTCACAACTTTATTTATTAACATTGCAAAAAGTTATGTTTCAATAAAATAATTATATTGGTAAAGAATAGCGTTTTTTCTTTAAAAATTATAACATTCCAAACTTCGGAGCAGTAATATACATACATAGAATAACTTACGCATTTCGTCTATTTTATCCCTGACACAGGAGCACAATTGATTAGCCTGTTCGCTCAATTCCTTTAAGACTTGTTTACCTTCTTCCAAATCGGGTTGCTTGGACAAGTTAAATTCGGCTAAAGATCTGTTGCTCGCCATTAACATCTCCTTCTCAGTCTCGAGATCCTTAAACTAATATTTTTATAATGTCAAGATATTCTCTATTCTTATGAGATGTTTATAGATTTAATTGTAACAAGAGCATGAAGAATTTTACTTTGAAAGGAAAAGATACATGTTAGGAATCCAATGTAAACTTCAAACATCATTATATAATATTACATTTCTTTCGGTTGCATTTGGTACTGAATTAGAATTAGTATTCTCTGCGTTGCCGTCCTACCTGCTTTATATCTTTCACGATATCTTCGAATTTCCCATCATTATTTAATAATTCCTTCAGCTCGTCATTATCAAGATGAGACAACAAACCCAGTGCTGCGGGTATATCCGGTTCCTGATTCGATTTATACATTTCTTAAATACTAATTTGCAACAGGTTAGCGATCGTGGTTTCGGATTATCTCTATCTTTTTTCTAAAGACAAAAATTCTTATAAATGCGCATTTGCGATAACGTAATGACAGCTCCTCTTCGAAATGCTCCGACTGCTCTGAACTCTGAAAAATTGAGAAAGCAGTCGATTTACAATGCTATCTTGTGACTCGAAACCGAAACTGATAATTAATAAGCTTTATCCAAGGAAGATAAAGCTACATTTTAATGAAACATTAACGGCCGATAATTTATATGCCTGTATTATCAATAAGAGAGAGTCACAGAGAAATTTTAATTATTTTTATATTATGCTGGACGGTGCTGCCGCCGTCTGGCGGAACGCGCGACTATTCGACAGTGACCGGTGAATTGTGGCAAGTTGTACTAAGCTTTTCAAACGCTCTCGAGCTAATCGATCCTGGTTGATCCCGGTGCAAGAACGACTATCTTGGCTGGACGCTCCAGGATTATTTTCTCAATCTCGAACGGCGCTGGTTACGTTGAAGGAGGGAACGTGATATGGAATCCGCGATCGGGAATCTCGAGGAAAGCGTGAGTATTTTTTGCACTTTGATCTGACAACATAAATTGTCAGCATTGGACATTCATGAAACGTCAAACGTTGCTTGCGTTGTCAAATTTACTTTGTTTTCTCGTGTCACAGGTGCAGAAAGCCGACGGGAAGCTGGACATGATCGCGTGGCAGATAGACGAATTCGAGAAGGCCTTTGAGGAGCCAGAAGACGAGGTAGGAGTTCGCTTTTTCGCTTTAATCAGTAGCGATTATCAGATCACATTGAGCCTGTTCTTTTTAGCTGTACTTTGCTCAATTTGTTCAGTATGAAATAAGTATACAGGCTACTATTCCAAGGGATTAATTATTAATTTTCCAAGTCTTTTAATAGATTGAAATCCAAAAATGATTTATTGACTGCGTTCAGCGGAGAAAGCAGCTTTGCAACTGTTGTAAAATTCTTCAATACGATTTGGTTCTTGCTTTTGGTTCCTTATGATTTAACTGTATAAGGCCCGATTGCACCGTTACTTTAATTTTAATTGTGGCTTAAAACTCTCTCCCTTTCTATCTCTCTATCAGCCTTTTAAAAAAAGAGATTTTTAAGCTTAGTTTAGTCGAAATAACAGTGCAATCAGGCTTAAACCAATCATATTGAAGAACTTTACAATAGTTGTAAAGCTGCTTTCTCTGCTGAACGCAGCCATTGTTAGCAAAAGTAAATTTGAAATGTCAAAGCAAAGTTGACATTTGATCTGGAACAGCTTGTATATTTCAAGTTTATGAAACAGTAGATAAAAACAGAAAGAAAATGTAAAAAGTACAACTGAAAAGATAAACATATTATGTCATCTATACAATCCTCTTTGACAATTTACTGAATAAACTGAATGTCTTCTTTGACAATTTACTGAATAAATTAACAATGTTATATTTCGTTTGTTGGATAATTCCTGCTTGAAGCCAGGATGATCCATTTCATTTAGCATTAAATATATGTCCTGTGTGACATCACGTTCGTGAATTATTCGTATGCACTTTACTGTCTGCCATGTTTTCGGATCCTCAATCATCAAACCGCTTTTCATTTTGTGCTTCCCAGATATCTGTGCTTCGCCTATTACACTCTGTCCATCAGGTTACGAAAGATTATCAAAATCTTCGTCAAGAAATTTTGGAGGTTCAGCAGTTACAAAAACAGCTTTCTGATTCACTTAGAGCTCAGCTTACGCAGGTGCACGGACACTTTAATTTATTGCGCAATAAAATTGTAGGACACAAATCACCGCAGCTAAAATAAGAGTGAAATTCGTTATATGTTTCCGATATACTTTTATTTTTACTTGTTAACAAGAGAGTGCACATATTTTTTACGAGATGTGAATTGAAGTTTAAGCATCACGTCCAGTGAGAATTATGTTCACTTTTTGTTATATTCTTAATACTTACCATATAGCAAATTGCGAAGAACGGTGCGGCCCACAATTCGGAAACAAAGATTTGAAAACAGTTGTTTGAGAAATGTCTTGTCACTTCCCGAACAAATTTCTAATAGTTAAAATTATAATATTTGTTATATTGTTCTCTTGTATGTTGTTTTTTAATGTTAATAACTTTAAAAATTGGAAATGGAAATGGGGTAAGGAATGGAATCGACATTCCTCACTCCATAAGGTATTATCGACAAATAACTTATTTAACTTTTGCCTTAAAAATGGCAATGGGGCCAATATATATACGCTGGTACGTTGAGAATAATATTGAAATGACTTCATATTGAATTCATATTGTCTACATTACAGCCTCTATCGTTTGTTATTCGACGCGTTAACAGATAACAGACAATATGTAACAATATGTTTGATCTTTGAATTATAATGTAAAATCTTTTAGTAGTGCATCAACTGAATGGCTAAAAAATATTATTTGTGTATTTTCCGTTATCATTAGATTTATCTGTATATATTTCTACACCATTTTGAGGACAATGGTTAAGAAAAATTTATTTTTTCTCGTGTACCAATCGAAGCTTGTGACTTTGAGATTAGAAAATATAAGCTTAGCATGATATCTTTGTGCGAATCCACATTTAGCTTTGAGTGAGTGAGATATTTACGCTTTCTGAAATAATATAAATGATTAAAATATAACATTCTATTATTATTATTCGATGCTAATAATGTCTATATTGCATATTTACGCATAATGAGTTTACACATGATGCAATATATATGTGCATATATACACGTGCATATATATGTGACATTTATATTAAGTCTCAATAATCGATTATAGCTATACAATTTTCTATTTATCATTATTGTGATATAGAATAAATTAATCTTTTATTATGAAAGAGGAATTTATAATTTTCTGGCACGTATTTTATAACATACACGGCTTAGCATTTTTATTCTTTATATAATGTAAAAAGATTAAGTTAGAGTTATTTAAATAGCAAATATATATGAATATTTTCATATGTTTAATCAGAAACGTAAAATATTTCTGTCGTTTATATTTTTAGGTAAAATCTGTTTACAGTTCAGATAAAAAATTGTGAATAGGTTCAAAATTAGCAAACAATAATATATATTTAACAATAAAATATATTATATTTATTAACTTTTCGCTGGGCAATTTAAAAGTATTGACATTTTAATTGTGAATTTTGGCAGACAAATTTAAATCTGTAAAAAAATAAATAAAATGAATAAATGAAATACTTCTACGATAAAAATTCGTTATTAAAGTTTTGACAAGTATACCAGAGTTTTTTCAGATTTTTATATAATCCGAAACAATACAAAATTTACTCTGTTTCTCAAAGATCCTTATTGCTAACGAAAAAAATTAAAATTCATGTTGCCGGCGGTAAGTTAATCTTGTTTTATGGCTTTAATAAACCATGTACAATAATACAATTATTTCTTTCTGCATAAAATTAACAACTTTCTCCTGGCTGCAACTTATACAATAAGATATGCATTTCTAGAAAACATATACATATATGTAACTGAAAAAAAAAAACATGGACAATTATACAGAAGTTTCGAAAATACTCTCATAAATTCCTGAATATATACAAATGCTTATGTGTTCTCAGCACGCTTAGCGTTCTTTCTTGAAATATACAGAGTGTTTTCAATATTTTCTAATTTGCAGAAAATGAATGTAATATGAACGAAGACGAAAGAACATGACAAATGTATAAAACTAGCATTGAAAAATCGAAAGAAGGGAAACACTATTGCCTTAAGACATAGATGCGCATTTTTTAATATCTTGGAATTAGATATACGACAATTATATATGCTAAACTGTAACGACTTGTTAACGGATTTTCAAGAAGCCTGACAAATCGGAAAAAATATTCTTTCTTTTATAGGAAATACTTCTGCATTATAACTCATCTTGTATCAAACATTGTAATATGTGACTGTTTATACCTGATAAGTAGTTAATTAATCGATTTACTGTGCGGATCTATCTTAATAGCTATTATCTCACCAATTAATAAACTGAGTAATTTAATGTACGATGCAACTTAAATTATCACAGAGTAACTGAGTTTCATAATCGTAATGTGTTGCATACTGGTTACATACGCAACGGTATTCTATATCTAAAGAAAAAATTGCTGTCAATTTACCTGTTTTCTTTCACGCATTCGATCCGTGTCTTGCAGGAAACTCCTCCAAGTCAATACTATATAATATAGATCGAGAAAACATTGTGATACTCAGTGACTCGTACTAATATTTACTATGATCGACTTTTTATATTACGATTAATCAAGATATCTAACCCGGTGCATCGAAAATAGGAGAGAAGTTAACTTTTGCACTACACTTATTAATCGTAATATAAATAGTCACACTCTGTCTTAAGGCGTGATCAGACTAGAGATTAAGATTGAGATTGGAATGGAACTTAACCAATCAAAGCAAAGTTCATTAAACTTGAGATTGATTTTCTTTCTTCTAATTGATTAAATTCCAATTCAATCTCAATCTCAATCTCTAGTCTAATTAAGCCGTTATAGCTTTTATCTAAAATTAGGTACAGATTACAAAAGAGAGAGAGAGAGAGAGAAAGAGAGAGAGAGAGAATATGTATCGTTTAGCACTGTCAGATCGAAGTCATACGCATTCACTATTTTTCAATACAACAATTTCATTTGAAACATTGCCATCTCTTCTATAATATAGATACATATACCTATATGACACAATTTTCAATACATATACGCACATTCAATTTTATCCTACGATATGTATGACTTTGTTAAAATATTAGCTTGTTCTTCGTTAATATATAATATAGAATAGTTCTAAGAGAAAAATAGTCTGGAACACATTAAAAATGTGCTAAAATTTCGGTCAATTAATACTAAACGTCATTCGTTTCGTCGGAAACGGATTGTTCTCGATTTGTTTCTTTTTGGAATCTACATATCACATGTTTAAAATCTTTTTGAACGTTATTTATGCACTTTTTATCGAAACATTCCCAAGATTCGTGAATGTCTTTGTCAAAACAAGTAATTAATCTTGTACCTGTACAAGCACTTTGTTAAAGGACAACGTGTATATCGCATGGTTTTTTACAACTTATATAAGTTAAACGAGAGCAACTAATTCTTATTGAACTTTAAAATATGCTTGCAGTATCATTATATTAGATTCAGGTATTATCTCATTTTAGAAACCATCGGCTATTCAAGATCATTTTCTCTCTCTCAATTAAAAATTATTTTTTTAAATCAGAAAAATAATGATTTTCTCGTAGGTAACATAAACTTATAGTGTGTTAATCGAGGAAAAAAAGTAATGATATATATATATATATATACCATCTTTAATATGTTTAAATATTTATTGTGTTTACTTATCGTCTTACACGTTGCGTCCTAAAATAAATATCTTGTACACATTTACTAATAAATAATGCATACAGCTATTATATTTGCTGCATGTTGCACGCATAGGTACAATTAATTTTACTCGATAATATGTTATTCAATTTATTCGGTGAAGTCACAATTGCATTTATGTAATGGATGTAATTCTACAGTTACAGTTCCAGTATAATTAAGGATATGAGATATCAAAACTTTAATATATTTATTTATATTTTGAAATTTGAATAGAAATATTCTTGAATAGAAGAGGTGACAAATATTATATTCTCGAAATATGTACGTGTAAAAAATATATATATTTTGCAATAAGAATTATAAAGACTCATACTTATATTTATAATTATATATTTTAATTTATATAATTGTAAAATTTTTATTTAAATAAATTTTATTTAACTACTAAAGTTTGTTATGTACTGGAATTGACTGTACGACTGCAATATCAAAATATTGAAATTTATCGATTATTTACCAATATATTATATACAATTGCTCAAAATTTCGATGTATGTTAACATCTACGATTCCTGAGACGAACTGTATCTTTTTAGATATTTATCGTATTATTACGTAATAAATTGTTATCTCTAGCAATCCTCTGGGAGTCCATTATTGTCTATATTATTACAATACCAATATAATTATTATTATATATTTGAATAGGATAAGCGATACATAATTTTACGGGACTAAATGCATTTTTCTGAAGGAAACATTGCAAGTTTCTATCTCATTCTGACGAAGGAAACTAGACATTGCTCGAAATGTCAAGTACGATGTCAGATGAGCTAAGTAGAAGCCTAATCAATTACTCATTTTCCCACACTAACGCCCACGACATAGAGGCGCTTCTCTCGACATAGAAGAGCTTGGACTATTTTGAACGTTACCTCAGAAAGGGAAAGATATTTAAAGAAAAATCATCGAAAGCCTTTCACCGTGAAAAGCAAAAGTGTTCGCCTCGCATCGTTCGATTCATCAACTAGAATGCGTGCATTCATATTTTATATTAGACATATACATGTACTTGCTCTCTAGGGAATACACCAGAGAGCTGCACGCGAGAGATGGTTGCGAGCTGGACTTGACCTCATAGATGGACCCGAGCACGGACCGGTTATTCCGCGCACGGATCAAGGAAAGGCTTCTCAAATAGGAATGAAGATTGTAGACCCTCGCCTACGGCGGAATCTCTCTTTGCGTTAGAACCGATAGACACGGCGTTCACAATGCGCATTCAATGCGCACTCTTCCTGCAACATTAGGACTGATTGATGAATATTAATACCTGTGCATCGCAAACTTGACCAAATCTAACCACGCAGGAATACCATCTTCCTCTAATGAATTGTCATTATAATTAACCAGGTTACGTTCTGTGCAGTGCCTCGAAATTACCGGATGTCTTTTTAATTACAGCCTCTGGCTAATTTAAAGTCTGTTTTTCCTCGATCAAAGTGTCGAAGGAGGTTATCATTACCAGCTACTTTCTAGCTCTTAGCATTATAAATTCATGATAAAATTTTAAATCCTGATGACCTACTATTACACTACTTTTTGCTGAGGTGAGATCGACTTT